TTAAATGGCGAATGACGGGGCGCTCCCCCCATGCCGCCATACATTAAATGGCGAATGACGGGGCCTTCCCCCCGTGACAGGCGGGGGATGGTGTTGGGCCCCACATGAAGATGCGCGGCCATCTTGCTCCCGGTTGGCGGCACACGTGGCCGCCTGACCTAGGTAGGGTGGGTCCCCCTTACGCTGAAGGGTAGGTATGGGTGACGCATGTGGTATCCCCTTGAACTATAAAAGGAGGACCTCGCCTACTGAGAAGGAGGGCGACTCTTAGATGACTTGAGCCCTAAGGGAAGAATAGCTAGAATTCTCCCGGGAGCTTATGAACCCTTGTAAGAACTAACCATAATCCCACACACAGAAGTAGGGTATTACGCTCCATAGTGGCCCGAACCTGTATAAATCTTCCATCTCCACCACGACACCGATCGGAAGTAGGCTTTTGCTCAACGCGCCATTTCCCCCAGACGAACTCACAAAGGGGGTCTCACGATCACCCGCTAGAGAGGATGACTCATCAACATCCTTCGTATTGGAAGAAGTAGCTTGATGTAATTAACCAATATATACCCTCCGTCCCAAAAAAAAAAAGTCCAATCCTAGCTACGAACCCGGACACATGTGTGTCCAGATTCATAGCTAGAATTTTTCTTTTTTGGACAAGTAGTAATATATAACTCTATTAGAAGCATTAATGGTTACTGCCTATCTATTGGTTTATCAGCACCGATGATTGCATGGCAGATGGGGCAAGCTATTTTGATAGCAAATCTTTGGATAAATAGTTATGAGAAATTGTGACAGCACGTGGTATCAATTCATGAACTTGCTAATTTAAATTTCTTGTGACAGCACGTGGTATCACTTCATAACCTTGATAATTTAAATTTCACAGGCAGAGAAAACACAAATATAAACATAAATAGTACGTGCTCATATCAGTTTAAAATTTTCTTGATGGGTAATTAAATTAATCGAGTTCTGTGTTGAAACATTATGAGGCCATAGACGACTATATATGTTGTTGGTCTATCAGTTGCTAGCTCCCTCCGTTTAAAAAAAACCTAACCTCGTGCTAGAATGGGATGTATCCTTGTACAGTAAATTTGGATATAGATACACAAGCCGATGAGCGTGGTGAGCCGCGACCGCGAGCAGGTGGCGCCGATCGGCCGATGAGCAGCAGGACTGCAGGACAGCAGGTGCTGATGAGGAGCAGCAGCCAGCAGGCGCCTGGCCGCCGGGCGGTTGCCGGTTGGCCTGCTGGCCTCGAGCCCTCGAGTCGAGTCGACGACGCAAACACGCAGAGCGGCAGAAGACAACTATAAACATAAATAAAGATCTTGTGACAGCACATGGTATCACTTCGTAAACTTGCTAATTTAAATTTCTTAGGCTGAGAAAAACAACTATAAACATAAATAGTACGTGCTCATATCAGTTTAAAATGTTGTTCTTGATGTGTCAAAATTGAGTTTTGTGTTCAATTATTATGAGGTCATAGACGACTATATAGTGTTGGTGTGACATAATCAGTTATTAAAAAACAATTTTATGGTTCTTAAGGAGATTCTAACAGCAGATAGGAACTGTAATTTTTAGTGTTTATAATTTTTTAGTCTTGAGCAGGTACCAAGGAGTGCTCCATTTTTCATTTATTCTTTTTATCTATTTACCTATCAACAAAGATTTTTTTTTGGAGGGGGGGGGGGCGGGGGGACATCTAATATATACCCAGGAAAACAGTAGATAGTACAAAAGGATAAATTGACACAAAAACGACATGTAAGAAGAAATATAATTACACCGAAGATTTTTCTTGTCGCCTTCTTTGTTTGATTGTTCGCTGCCCGCCGGAGCCTGGAGATTGCAATGAGAAGGCAGTAGGGCAAATTCGGACATTTGTATCACAGTATTATCATAGTAGAATTGAGCTCAACCGTTGCTTTATGAGTCTTACTTCTGGTAGAAAAAAAATAAACGGTGTAGATTGGTTCTATTACCATTGGAGATGGAGCATTACTGTAAACAAAATTTTCCTAAGCCACCAGGTGACACTCTCACTACTACACAAATGATTTTCCTGGACAGGGATCTTTTAGATTGCATGCGGGCGGTAATTAGGACCGCACGGGAAAATCGATTTTCCGGTCCTCTTAAATGGACCGCACGCAAAAATGAGCCGATTTTCCCGTGCGGATCTATTAAGAGAACCGCACGGGAAAATAGTTTCCCTCCTACCCATTTCAAAAATTTCGCCTTTTCCCTCCTCTCCGCCATCCGTGCGCTCCTAAGTCCGGGAAAAATCTCTCTCTCTCTCTTTTATTTATTAACGGCCGATCCTATCATCCCTCTCTCTCACGCGACCTCTCTCTCTCACTCCTCTCTATCCTCCTCGATCTCTCTCTCACTCCACGTTCTCCTCCTAGTGGCGCGGGCGCAGGCAGCGGCAGCGGACGGCGGCGCGCGACCCCTCCCCTCCCCTCGGCTCCCCTCCCTTCCCCTCCCACCCCTTGCAGATCCGGTGGAGGGGAGTCATGGGAACGGCGGTGGCGGACCGCGGCGCGCGGCCCCTCCCCTTGCAGATCCAGCGGAGGGGAGGCATGGGGGCGGCGGTGGCGGCGGTGGGCGCAGGCTGTGGCGATGACGGGCGGCCCACAGCTCCTTCCCTCCCTCCCCCCTCCCCTCCCCTCCCCGGCAGCAATGGGAGCGGGCGACGGATCCGGCATCAGCGATGGGAGCAGGTGGCGGATCCGTCGTCGGCGACCGTGGGGGCAACGGCGGTGGCTGGATTAGGGTAAGGGTTTGTTTTTTCTTTATTTTTATTTCGATTTTTCATTTTCCCGTGCGGGCGGCTTAAGCGCCCGTGATTTTCGCGTGCAGTGCATCGCCCGCACGCAAAAATCACGATTTTCGTAGATGAATCCTTCTAGACGGTTGAATCCTCCGCACGCAAAAATTGGATTCATCCGCACGGGAAAATCCTTATTGTAGTAGTGTCTACAAACGCTCCTAAGCTGCCACGTGACAGAAAAAAATCTAACCTTTAATGTTCATTTAAATTGATGGACTCATTCTTTTAGACCATTAGATTAGATGTAGGAAAAAAACATAGAGAATCCACCCATCCTAATCTACCACCAAACTAGGCCCACCCTATTTGTGTTAACGTACGTATACGTATACGTACTCCGTACCCTATTCCTGTTCTACTCTTTTCCTTCTGTTACTTAGAAAGAAAAATATATATAAAAGCATTTGAGCAACTATAGCATTTAAATCATGCATGTACCTTTTATCAGCTTATGTTGTTAGATTGTTTACGATTAATAAATTTACAGTTTAAAACACATCTTTACTATAATTATATCAGTATTATAGATAAGGTATATATGTTATACTTTAATTTGTAACACCCTATAATTATCACCTTCCAAAATTGGGCCCACCTAAGCCTTACAACCACTAGATTTATCTTAAAGAAAAAGTTCACCTCCCAAAAATGGACCAAGCTAGGCATGTATTTAAGTGCGCACGTTATTTTTTTTAAAAAAAATATTTCCTCTTTTTCACCAATTCCTTCTTCTATTTTCATAATTTATTAGCTTGAAAAGTTTGTTTTATAACATCTAAATCATATAATTTTTTTTTGATTCGCTTATATCTTTAAATTGTTTATGACTAAATTTATAGTAGAAGAAGAAATTTCACTATAATTCAACTTTGAAATAAATGTTATTTTGGTTATATTTTTCAACTTTTGTGTGCCATTCAAGTAATTATAAAAAAAGTCTGAAATAATAAATAATATATATTTTATCACTGTATGTAACTTTGTAATTTAAATTAGATATATAATCATAATTTCCCATAATATATTTTGTTGTGTAAAGGAAGCTTTTCTTAATATCAAACGATTACATCAAGTTGATAGAACCATACTAAGAAAACCCTCGGCCTCTGCATAACTAGGATACACACAGCTAAAACACACACGCCCACAAAAGAGTTTGTAACAAGAGAAGAAAAGCAGTAAAATTTAGGGAGCACCAATCTTTAGGCTAGACCGCCACCCATATGCTTGGGTAAAACACTTCCAAAATATATCAGTTCGAAAACAAAAGTTATGCCAAAATGTAAATAACTATAACATCTAAATTATATAGCTAATATTTGATCCGTTTATATCTTTAGATTATTTTACATTTTAAAGAGCCATATTCACTATAGTTAACTTTTCATATGTCACTTTGGGGTTATATTTTTTTGACTTTTACGTGACATTCAAATAATTATGAAATTATAAAAAAAGATATAGATTTTATCGTTGTATATAATTGCACAATAATTAAATTAGATTTATAACAATATAAGTAAAATGATAAAATGACTGAATTGAACTATTTGGAGAAAATCTAATAAGTTTGTGAAAAAAATAGTTCTTATTCTTTATTAAAATTGGACAAACCACATTGCATGTTCCATTTTCATAATTATTTTTAAATGCTTAGATATTAATGGCCTTATATCAATCATATACCATAGCACTATGAATTTCATCACATATTATTGCATATATAAGGAGCCACTTAGTAATATATAGTTGGTTAAAAAGTTATATTTGTTACTATTAAATTTAAACTTTTGGACTCATGTTAATTATGTCTTTCTTTTAAAAAAACAGTATATATCACGCCTATCACAAGGAAGCGAGATCTACGACATGTCTTTATTAATTTATATATAAGTATATAACAAACTTGCGTCAATCTGAACCAACTAAAAGGATGACTAACTTGATGCTACAAATAAAACATATTTATTAATAGTTATTTAGGATTTGTTAAAAAAACCACTAAATATTGAATTAAACAAGACAAAACACCTTAATTTTAAGTTAGACATATTTTATAAACAAACTCTCTATACTGAAGAAATCATATATAATTATTTATAGGGATTTATTAAATATTATGTGTTTTGAAAGCTAACAAATAGTTTGAAAAAAAATACCTAAGCAATGTTGATGAAGAAAATTTATTCAGAAATATTTCTTTTGAAACATGGCAGTATCTACGATAAGTTTTTCAAACGCAATCTACGATACATACCCGCGCGAATGTGCCCTATCTTCCAAGTTATATAAAGGAGTAGGTTGTTCCTCAACGCTTATATACCAGGAACGCTTCTGCGTAATGCTTCTATGGCCTGGCTGTTACTTCCACGCAACAGCATTCGTATGCTCATGCTTGTACTCCAATTGACAGTACTACTGGTTGATTCTACTTCCCGCCTGCACGGCGTTGGAAGCAGCAGCAATGGCACCGGCGACGACCTGTCCGCTCTGCTGGCTTTCAAAGCGCGGCTCTCCGATCCTCTCGGAGTCCTTGCCAGCAACTGGACAACCAAGGTGTCCATGTGCCGCTGGGTCGGCGTGTCGTGCAGCCGGCGGCGGCCGCGGGTGGTCGTCGGATTGCGCCTCCGTGACGTTCCTCTCGAAGGAGAGCTCACCCCTCACCTTGGTAACCTCTCTTTCCTCCATGTTCTCAGACTCACCGGCTTAAACCTCACAGGTTCCATCCCAGCTCATCTTGGGAGGCTGCAACGTCTTAAGTTTCTTGATCTTGCCAACAACGCCTTATCCGATACTATTCCCTCTACACTAGGGAACCTGACGAGGCTTGAGATTCTTAGTCTAGGTTACAACCACATCTCAGGGCACATACCAGTGGAGCTGCAAAATCTTCATAGCCTTAGGCAAACGGTTCTCACGAGCAATTACCTGGGTGGTCCGATACCAGAGTATTTATTCAACGCTACACCTTCTTTAACCCACATATACTTGGGGTACAATAGTTTATCAGGGTCCATACCAGACTGTGTTGGCTCCTTGCCCATGCTTCGATTTCTTTGGTTGTCAGACAATCAGCTCTCTGGTCCAGTCCCTCCTGCCATTTTCAACATGTCTAGCCTTGAAGCCATGTTTATCTGGAATAACAATCTGACGGGGCCTTTACCTACTAACCGAAGCTTTAATCTCCCTATGTTGCAAGACATAGAATTAGACATGAATAAATTCACAGGACTAATCCCGTCAGGGCTTGCTTCATGCCAGAATCTTGAGACAATTTCTCTGCAAGAAAATCTTTTTTCAGGTGTCGTGCCGCCATGGCTGGCTAATATGTCACGTCTTACTATCCTCTTTTTGGGTGGCAATGAGCTCGTTGGTACGATCCCTAGTCTGTTGGGAAATCTCTCCATGCTCAGAGGCCTTGACCTCTCATACAACCACCTAAGCGGCCACATTCCGGTGGAGCTGGGAACACTGACAAAACTCACGTATCTCTATCTTTCACTTAATCAGCTCATCGGAACTTTTCCAGCCTTTATTGGAAACTTATCTGAATTGTCATACTTGGGATTGGGATATAACCAGCTGACAGGGCCTGTACCATCAACGTTTGGAAACATCAGGCCTCTCGTTGAAATTAAAATTGGAGGCAATCACCTCCAAGGGGATCTCAGCTTCCTGTCTAGCCTTTGTAACTGTCGCCAACTTCAGTACCTCTTGATATCACATAACTCTTTCACCGGGTCTCTCCCAAACTATGTTGGAAACCTCTCAACTGAACTCTTAGGATTCGAAGGAGACGACAACCACTTAACTGGTGGCCTTCCAGCTACACTGTCAAACCTTACTAATCTGCGAGCGCTAAATTTGTCATACAACCAACTCAGTGATTCCATACCAGCTTCCCTCATGAAGTTGGAGAATTTGCAGGGACTTGATCTTACCTCGAATGGAATATCTGGTCCTATCCCTGAAGAGATTGGTACGGCAAGATTTGTATGGTTGTACCTGACCGATAATAAGCTCTCAGGTTCCATACCTGATAGCATTGGTAATCTCACCATGCTACAATACATTTCTCTATCTGATAACAAGTTGTCATCGACTATCCCAACAAGTTTATTTTATCTTGGTATCGTGCAGCTCTTTCTCTCCAATAATAACCTCAATGGTACATTACCATCTGATCTCAGCCACATCCAAGATATGTTTGCCCTAGATACTTCAGACAATTTATTAGTTGGTCAGCTCCCAAATTCATTTGGATACCATCAGATGTTAGCCTACCTAAACCTGTCTCACAACTCATTCACAGATTCAATCCCGAACTCTATTAGCCATCTGACCAGCTTAGAAGTATTGGACCTTTCTTATAATAATCTTTCAGGCACTATACCTAAGTACTTAGCAAACTTTACCTACCTCACTACTCTGAACCTCTCTTCTAACAAGCTAAAAGGCGAAATACCAAATGGTGGTGTTTTCTCAAATATAACCTTGATATCTTTGATGGGCAATGCTGCCTTGTGTGGTCTTCCTCGTCTAGGATTTTTACCATGCCTAGACAAGTCACACTCAACTAATGGTAGCCACTACCTGAAGTTTATACTCCCTGCCATCACAATAGCAGTTGGCGCACTTGCTCTTTGTTTGTACCAAATGACTAGAAAGAAGATTAAAAGGAAGCTAGATATTACTACACCTACTTCTTATAGGTTAGTATCATATCAAGAGATTGTTCGTGCCACGGAAAGTTTCAATGAGGATAATATGTTGGGAGCTGGAAGTTTTGGCAAGGTTTACAAGGGTCATTTGGATGATGGAATGGTGGTTGCGATTAAAGATCTAAACATGCAAGAGGAACAGGCTATGAGAAGCTTTGATGTTGAGTGCCAGGTTCTACGCATGGTTCGGCATCGCAACTTGATAAGGATACTAAGCATATGCTCCAACTTAGATTTCAAAGCACTGCTGCTTCAGTATATGCCCAATGGCAGCTTGGAGACGTACTTGCACAAGGAAGGCCACCCTCCACTAGGATTCCTCAAGAGACTGGATATTATGCTTGACGTGTCAATGGCAATGGAGCACCTTCACTATCATCATTCTGAGGTTGTTTTGCACTGTGACCTCAAGCCTAGCAATGTGTTGTTCGATGAGGAGATGACGGCGCATGTGGCAGACTTTGGCATTGCAAAATTACTGTTAGGTGATGACAACTCTGCAGTTTCAGCCAGCATGCCAGGGACAATAGGATACATGGCTCCAGGTACTTGCACTTACTATTCATGAGAAATTTGTTTTACCATTTGAGTTCTGTAACAGAGTTAATTTAATTTGTTTCTTTCTCTCTTTTTTTGAAAAATCATTCGTTGAACAGAATATGTATTTATGGGAAAAGCATCACGAAAGAGCGATGTGTTCAGCTATGGGATCATGTTGCTCGAAGTCTTCACCGGGAAGAGGCCTACGGATGCCATGTTTGTTGGTGACATGAGCCTTAGGAAGTGGGTTTCTGAAGCATTTCCAGCCAGGCCTGCAGATATTGTGGATGGTAGGCTTCTACAGGCTGAAACATTAATAGAACAAGGTGTTCATCAGAACAATGCAACCTCCTTGCCGCGCTCTGCTACCTGGCCAAATGAAGGCCTTCTTTTGCCAGTATTCGAGCTTGGCTTGATGTGTTGCAGTAGCTCACCTGCAGAACGGATGGAAATAAATGATGTGGTCGTGAAGCTCAAGAGCATCAGGAAGGATTATTTCGCTTTTACAGGAGCAATATAAAATTAGCATTTGAGCGCATTTTGTTTATCTATATTATATGCGGACACTATCTCACTTGCTAGTAGCCACAATTATTCTCAAGTAAGACTCATTCGAGCCTAAAGTACTGTATCGACATATAAATGAAGAGAATTTTTACTGTCCAGCAGGTGGAGGCGGTACCAAATACGTCCGTTGGGACAGATCTAATGGCTGAAAATCGTCAGTATCGTGAGGTACCGTAAATCCTGTGCGATGATACCTCTTCTCCGTCCGCATGAATTGAGCAGGTGGAAGGGTAGAACTGGATTTTTAACTTAAATTTAGAGTTGATTTTGAGGTTTTTTCATCGTAGTTTATTTTTCAGCCTTTACTTTTAGATCTATATGAACACATATATAAAAGTTTTAATTTACAAATTATTTTCTATTTGCAAATATGTCGTTTCGCTTATTCGAAACGATGGAGTCCTTGAGTTTTTTTCGAATGTGAAACCAGATTACTTTCTACTACAAATAAACACCGTAGTTTTTTTTCAAAAACTATACTTTGATCTAATTTCTTTTTAATGTTATCAATAACTACAAAATTAGTATAACATGAAAGTATTTTAAAATACACATATAATGATATGATATGCATGACAGTAAGCATATAAAATAAACTAGAAGTTGAATAAAAAAACGTTTGTTCGTCCCACTTGCATCAGTACTTCTCCTAGTAATATTGATTTGTTATCTTTAACTTAGGTGGCGTTTAGATCTAGGGAGTAAACTTTAGTCCATATCATATTGGATGTTTTGACACTAATTTGAAGTATTAAACATAGACTACTTACAAAACTAATTACACAGATAGAGGCTAATTTATTGAGACGAATCTATTAAGTCTAATTAGGCCATGATTTGACAAGGTAGTGGTACAGTAAATATGTGCTAAACATGGATTAATTAGTTTTAATAGATTCGTCTCGCAAATTAGTCTCTATCTGTGTAATTAGTTTTTTAAGTAATCTATGTTTAATACTCTAAATTAGTGTCCAAACATCTGATGTGACAACGACTAAACTTTAGTCTCTAGATCCAAATTAACACCACCTTAAACTCAGTACTCCCTCGGTTACAGAGCATGTCATTTTAAACACGCATGTTTTAAGTCGAAAAAGTATACTTTGACTCCTTTAACTATCGTCTGAGTATGATTCATGACCTCCAACCATAAAATCGGGTATATCGACTCCTTTAACTATCAAAACCGGTGTAAACAATATCCCTCGCTGGTTTTGGAGGTGGTTTTGGCTGACGTGGCGCCCACGTGGCAGTCTTGACCGAATCTTTGTCCTACGTGGCGCTTACGTGGTATTAGAATAAAAACAAAAATAAAAAAAATATGGGACCCATATGTCATTCACACAAAAAAGTGGGACCCACATGTCATCCTCGCTCTCTCTCTCCCTCCCTTATCTCTATCTCACTCAGAAGCGGCGGCGGTGGCGGTGTCCGATAGGGACGAGGCGGTAGGGAGCGGCGGTGCCGGTGGCGGCGGGGACAACGACTGGCTAGCGCGGCGGCAGGGGTGGCACGAAGGAGCAGCGGCCGTGGTCGGGACGAGGCGGTGGGGAGCGGCGGCGGCAGCGGCGGCGCCGGTGGCGGTGGGGACAACGGCTGGCTTCATCGCCGCCTATGGCAAGGCCAACATCCCGCAAGAATCTGTTAATCTCTTCCGATGCCCCCACCACCACCGCCGCTTCCGACCGCCGCCGCCGCCGCTCCCCATTGCAGTCCACGCCGCCGCTCCGGCCAAGAGAAAGGCCGGGGGGAGAGAGAGAGAGAGAGATAAGGGAAAGAGAGGGGAGGAAGAAGGGAAGGAGAGGGAGGATGACATGTGGGTCCCACACAATACTTTTCTTTTGTGTGAATGATATATGTGTCCCACGTATTTTTTAATTTTGTTTTTATTCTAATGCCACGTAAGCGCCACGTAGGACAAAGACTCGGTCAAAGACTACCACGTGGGCGCCACGTCAGCCAAAACCACCTTTAAGACCACCGAGGGACATTATTTGCACCAGTTTTGATAGTTGGAAGAGTCAATATACCTGATTTTATGGTTGGAGGTCATGAATCATAATCGGACGATAGTTGAGGGAGTCAAAGTATACTTTTTCCAAGTGAAACCAACTCATCGCTACGTTTTGCCTTTTCATACATGGGTCAACACTAGAGGAGCCAAGGCATGCCAACCTCATCATCATTAATTAATTTTTGCTACTGAGTGAATCGGTACAATTAAGCATCAACTGCAAGAGTTTACTATCGAATCTCTGCTTCATCAATCAATAATAAGATTGCCGTTGATTATACAACCGTCGTTGTTGATTTGGACAAGAGAAATCTATTATTTGTGCGGGCCTCATCAGTACAGCAGCAGTGGTCGTTCGACTCGCCGTCGCACAGGCCTCCGTTGAACCCCTTGATTTGGCAGTCACTCATGCACTTGTTCATATCGCAATTTACAAGGACCATGCACGAATCCATTTCTCCATATCCACCTATATATATATATGCACATGTAAAATACATATTTTTAGAGGAAAAATCATTATATTGTTAATGACCCCGACTTTTACAGAGAGCCGAAATAGTTCATACAGAAAATGTAAAATGCATATATACTTGTCAGGCTATATATCAGATTATTCCAGCATCATTGATCACTAATCATTTCATGCAAAAGAGAACAAATTAAACTGTTTTTGCATTTGGATGTGATCAATCGAGAGGTGTATATATATATATATGTATACCTTGTGTAGTATGACCGGATGAGAAATTTACGGTGGCCATCACCATAAGAGATGTGAAGAAGAACACTGCTGCAGCCTTCTTGTTGAGAATTTGCGCCATGATGAGATGAGATGAGAGGAGATCCTTTTGACAAGGAAGCTACTGCATATGCTGGCTACTACCTGGCCCCTAGCTTCATTTTGCAGCTGTTTATATAGAGTCACAAGAGCAAATCTTGGATGATTCATTAGTAAATTACCTCCATTATTATGCATTAATGACGTGTGTGAGGTTTCATTAATGACCGTTTCTCAAATTTATTGCATGAGCATATCGTTTCAATTAATTTTGTTTCTATATCATTTTACCTATGTCGTCGTTTAGTGTCCACCTCTACAAAATATTCCATTGTTCAAACAGGCCTAAATGTACGTTGAGTCATTCGAATGAAACAAAAGCCCATTACAAACATAGGCCCATGGGCTATAAAGCATGTCAGGCTACCAGAGAAGTCCACGACAAAGGCCCAATGTTTACAAGCAAACCACATTCCTTTTTCAGGTCAGAATATTCCTTTTTTTTTTTGTTTCAGCCAGAAATAAGAAAATACAAGGAGCACATCATCTACTTTCATTTTCATGATGGAAATTTATTGACCAGCAGTTCAATCACATTTTTACACCAACTATAAATTGTTGCAGAACCTGAAGCACCATAGATATTGAAGTTTTGGGAATTTTTCTCTAGAAGCTTCACTACTTTTTTCATTTCTCTAACTCTGCTATATACATGTACATATGAGTAGTATATGGGCCTCATGGGCCAACACATACATAACTCAACACTCCCCCTCAAGATGGGCGATAGATATCTATCATGCCCATCTTGTTACATGATGAAGTACACTCCCCAACACTTAAAGCTTTTGTTAAACAGTCAGCTACTTGTTCCCCCGACATAACAAAACCTAGCTTCAAAATCCCTTCATCTAGTTTTTCCTTGATAAAAAAACGATCTATCTCCACATGTTTTGTTCGATCATGCTGAACTGGATTGTTAGCGATGCTAATAGCCGACTTATTGTCACACCACAACTTCATGGGAATATTCATTAGCAACTTTAACTCAGAAAGAAGATTTCTCAACCATAACAGCTCACTTAAACTCACTGACATTGCCCTGTATTCTGCCTCAGCAGTTGAGCGAGACACTACCGGTTGTTTCTTGCTCCTCCAAGAGACCAAATTGCCACCAACAAATACGCAGTAACCAGAGGTTGACCTCCTATCATCAAGGCTGCTAGCCCAGTCCGCATCACAGTAGCCCTCCACACCTAGATGTCCATTTTTCTTGAACCATAAGCCTTTTCCTGGGCTCCCTTTTAAATATCTCAGGATTCTATATACTGCGTCCATGTGACCACTTCGAGGGTCATGCATGTATCGACTAACAACACTCACAGCATAAGTTATGTCAGGTCTGGTATGACACAAATATATCAATCGTCCCACAAGTCTTTGATATCTTTCTTTATTCACTGGATCTCCTAATTCAGCACATAACTTATGATTTTGCTCAATTGGTGTAGAGGCAGGTCGGCAACCGAGCATACCTGTGTCACAAAGTAGATCCAATACATACTTTCGTTGTGAAAGAACTATCCCTCTAGGAGATCTTGCAATCTCAATGCCCAAAAAATATTTGAGCTGACCAAGATCTTTGACTTCAAATTCTTTGCTTATATTCTCTTTTAACTGAGCTATTTCTTGAGTGTCATCTCCTGTAATAATTATGTCATCCACATATACAGCCAGGATGGCAATCTTCTTTCCACGGTGACGATAAAACAATGTATGGTCTCCATTGCACTGTTTGTAGCCCATGCCACACATTGCACGTCTAAATCTATCAAACCAAGCCCTTGGTGACTGCTACCTGGCCCCTAGCTTCATTTTGCAGCTGTTTATATAGAGTCACAAGAGCAAATCTTGGATGATTCATTAGTAAATTACCTCCATTATTATGCATTAATGACGTGTGTGAGGTTTGATTAATGACCGTTTCTCAAATTTATTGCATGAGTATATCGTTCAATTAATTATTTTTCTATATCATTTTACCTATGTCGTCGTTTAGTGTCCACCTCTACCAGCGCAAAATATTCCAGTGTTCAAACAGGCCTTAATGTACCCATGGGGTATGAAGCAAAAGCCCATTATAAACATAAGCCCATGGGGTATGAAGCATGTCAAGCTACCAGTGAAGCCCACGACAAAGGCCCAAATTAATGTTTACATGCAAACCACATTCCTTTTTCAGGTCAGAATATTCCCTCTTTTTTTTTTGTTTCAGCCAGAAATAAGAAAATAAAAGCAGCACATCATCTACTCCCATTTTCAATCACATTTTTACACCAACTATAAATTGTTGCAGAACCTGAAGCACCATAGATATATTCAATTCAACCGTAAACACATAGAAGCAAAGGGTAATTGATCACTGGGTATACACTGATGCTATTCCTAATACAGAAGAAATGGATGCAAAGGATATATATATTTCATTCGCTCATATACCACGAGAGAGCGATGAATCACTGCTGCACAACGCTCACTGTGGTTGCCATCAATTTGACATAGTCCTTTCTAATCTTGTTCAGTGTCACGACCACATCGCTCATCGCCATCCTTTGCTCGGGGGAGTCAGCCGAACAGAGCAAGCCCAGCTCGAACACTGGCACAAGGAAGTCATGCATGTTACTTGAAGAAGAAGAAGAGCCATCCTGTAGAAGTTTGCAGTCCACCACATGGACAAGCTCTGCAGGAAACGCCTGTTGAACCCACTGCCT